GGCCAATCAGCTAACCAGTATTTTCGCCCCTTCCCAAAATTACTTCAACGGAAGGTTTCCAGATGGATATGCGGAGCAAATCCATCTGGCGATGTCAGGTTATAGAACATGATGTAATGACGTAAAATCAAGGGCCCAATGTAAAAAAAAAATAAAATTGTGTTCCCCTTTAAGTTTTTTTCGTTGTTGTTTTTTTTGTTTTTTTGCCACATAAACTGCAGAAGGAAAGTGTTTAGTAACTGTTTACTCACCTCTGGGTCATACTGGGTGTCGATACTCGGAAATCTCTGTAGATAGAAACAAGAACAAACCTATTTTACAGCAGCGTCTAATCTGACCCATGCATTATTATTATTATATTATTATGGGATGGCAGAGTGTGAGCACTGATTCAGAGGTTATCACAGCTGCTTTCCTATGTTTGTTTTCACTTCCTGACAATTGCCTGCAGAGATAAGGAACAACAAGGATGATAGCAGGGAGGTCTGCTGTTTCCATGGTTACCTGAACAGACTCCGACCAGGAAGTGGTTGAACATCTGAAAGAAGCAGCATTTGCAGGCAGGTCTCTGTCCAAATGCAGCTAAAACACAGAAAAAAATACATTCATGTTTGAATTTAACTTTTATTCAGTAAATAAACACATGGAGATGAACCCAGAGTGATTCAGACCTTTCCGTTGTCACATCCCGGTCCCAGAGATCCGGAGGCAAAGAGCCGACCCAAGGCGAGCCACAGCGCCGCCAGCAGGAGCGCTGCCAGCGGCGGGCAGCTCGCTGGACTCCGCATGCTGAGCTCCGCTCATTCAACTAGATCTGGTTACACCTTCATCTGTCTCCTCCAACAAGAGCGGCTGACAAAGAAACAAATAAAAAAATAAACCTTGGACCTTTCCTTATCGCCAACAGACATGTCCCAAACAGAGCGCTATAACAAAGGTTAGCCGTTAATGTCGGCAGAAGAGAAGCTAACAGCTCCTTCCAGTCGCTCCGCTGTTTCCCTGCTTCACTGAACTTTCATCGGTTGTTTCTAATTCAGAGTAAACCTAACAGGAGCCAAATTAAATACACTTACAAGCGCTGAACAGGAGAGTGTAAACGCCTCCATGATAAATCCCAGAGGGACGAAACAAGCTAGCAAGGTCGCTTCAGCTGCAACTTCCGTCTAAACTTCAAAATAAAAGCCGGGTTTGTCCACCCAGTCACGCTTGAAGGAAAAAATACAGAAGAACCCTTTCTTATCACCTTAATAATTAATTTAATATAATTCACTTTATTCATATAGTGGTAATTCAATACAATTGTCATCCCAAACGCATTTTATAGGGACAATTCAGTCAGACTATGCGTTCAGATTGGTTAAAGGAAAAATTCAAACTTCTGAAAGTACTTTAAATATGAAATTATGTTTTTTTGTTTTTTTTTTTTTTTTTATTGAGCATCAGTGGTACATTATATAATTTCCATTACAAGAGGCATGATACTCATATTTATATTTTACCCCCCATCCCAAGAACCGTTTGGACACCAATCCAGCAGGAGTAGATAATTAAAAGTAATACAAAAATTGGAAATAGCTAAAAAATAAATAAATAGGAGATATATACATATATATACACATGCATACATATATACTTACACATACCCATACATTTCCCTTTTGGGGAAACCCTGTTGGAAAATATAGAACTAAAAAAAAAAATAAAATACAAATAAATCGATGTACAAAATTAAAGAATGGCATTTAAAAAACATACAACCAATGTAACAGTTTGTATTTTGTTTCCCTTTTTATCCAAATCTTGACATTGATTTGACTAAATGAGTCACTTCTCATACACAAACGTAAAGCACGCTCTTATTTGGTAGTTTAAGTCTCATTTCCTGTATTCCCATTTCTCGCAGCTTTACAACTTTTTTTTAAAATGTTGTGGTCTACAGAAGCAGTGGCGGTTCTAGACCAAATATTCCAGGGCGGCCAGCGTGTTTTCATGGGGGCCCAGAAAAGCATGAAATAATAAACAGGGCAAGGGATTCAAATATATTAAGATCACTGCATGAAGTTAAATTCCTATTCATTTAGGTTTAATTAAAATTCTGTCTTATAAGGTCAATACTCATTCATATTTTTGACTTAATTTAAGTTAAAATTATAGTTTTCTATAAAATCTGAATTAGAACTCAAGAACAACTGATAAATTCAGCTGCAAAAAGTTTTTATTTTTTATATTTTTAACTATGTATGCTGTTTTTATTGTACGGTTTTGTTTTAACTATGAATTTTGTAGCACTTTGAGATTTTTTTTAATGTAAAGTGCAATACAAATAAAATGTATTATTATTATTATTATTATTTTATTTTGATAAAAACATTTAGCAGATGAAAACTCGGATCCTATCTTAATCCTACTGAAGCTATCACCTTCTTGTTTTTAAATAATTAGTAAAACAGAAATCTTAAAGAGAAAAAAGGAAGGAAATGGATCAAAAAGGAGCTATCAGTAACCATGTCTGTTCCATTACATATCATCATTATAATTTCTTTGAGTATTATGTCTTCAGTCCAGGGGTCATAACAGGGACCAGGACATGATCTACAGGGGCACTAGCCCCCGTTGGCTCCTTTCTAGAACCGCCCACGTACGGAAGCCTTAAAGCAAAAAAGCAAACTAAAATTCACTTTTTACTATGTATCAATCATCCTCTGGGAGGCCATGACTTAAAAAAATAAAAATTAAACATAACGCCGTAATTTAACGCTTTATCATTTCTCCAGTCTCTGTTTTATGATTTTGTCAAAAAAATAATAAAATAACAGAGAGTAAGAAACAATTGGCCCTGATTTCCTTGTTTGATGCAATCGGCGGTGTGGATCCCGCCTCTGGCCGCAGAGGAACCGGTATTACCAGTTGGCTCAGCCCAGTGAGCCTCCCCACCTGTGAAAGGCCCACAAAGTAAACAGGGCTGCTGTCTCCATGTAAACGATGACTCTGTCAAAACACCACCTCATCAGATACAGGTGAGAATGTTATTATGTTAGAGAGCGGATATTTCTACCAGAACCACCTGATCCTGCAAACAGGAGGCTTTGACATTTCCTCCTCAGTATCGCTTTACTCTGAAACCTGTTTGCGGAAGAGTCCTCTTTTTTTTTTTCCAGTACACACCCACTTTTCCTCCCCACCCACAAACTTTTAAGAGAGGCACACCTTTCCTCCCAGGTGAGTCTGTCAGCAGAGACCTGGCCCTCCTATAAGGAGGAGAAGCTCGGACTGAGATGGATTCCTCGCTCTCCATAGGTTTGCACTCCATGCTAATAGTTTGCAAATACATTGATAAGTTGTATCAAAGGACAAGGTATACTTATGCTGTCATTTATTTTAATGTACATAAACCTTGTTGCATTGCTTTAGATAACCAAATGAGGTATATTTAATCTTGTTTGAATGAGTTAACTCTGTTTTGAGGAAGTCAGATTGTACTAAAGTACATCCACATAAAACGCCTCATTTGCTTTGTTGGAGCAGTAAGATTTTCTTATGTTTCTATTCCTGTTCACCAGGTGGAGCAGAGCCTGCAGCAGATGCAGATCTAAGCGGCAGGCAGCAGACAGAGGGGCAGCTTGGACAGCCCAAAGCAATCCAAGATGATCCCGTAAGTTTGAGGGACACACCCACCTTCAAATAAGGCATCATGCATCTGGTTAATCTGATAAAACGCACAATATAAAATTAGATATGCAAATTCAGAGGTGTTGGAAAGTAACCGGTCTGTGTCATGCACTAAACAGGCCCTTTATGAGGACTTCTGGTTATTATAGGAAGTTAATATTTACTTCTTTTTTTTTTGTTTTCAGGAGATGTATACCATGGACAGCTCTCCAGATAGTGATGATGAGGGTATCGACAAGAAAACAAAGAAGAAAAAGAAGCTGAAGAAAAAGAAGAAGAAGAAGGTAGGTGCAGAAGCTGCATCACTGGAATGGCAGCAGAATGAGAAATGATGAAACGTTGACACTCATCCTGCGGTCAGTTTAGGGTGTGGCCTCAGCTGGGAGACACAGAAGGGGAAGCGTGCTGTCAATCCTGCCGGCTAAAGCCGCTTTAGGGGGATAGCTGATGGAAAATTTTTACTGAACTGTGTGAATCAACCGCTGCGTCTGATTTTAGCATATTTGCAGGAGGTGTGAGTAACTTTCCTTTGTGTGCAGCTGAGTGTTTGTAGAGCTCCACCCTGCCATTACATTCCTCCACCCGTCTGCAGCTCAGCCTCATTCCACTCTGTAAACTGACTCCTTCATTAGGATGTAGGAAGATTTTTAACTATCAGCGATTTGTAAACCATCTGACTTCAGCCACGGTTTGGCAGAAATCAACCAATAACCTGAGTGCAACTAAATGTGAACAAAACAGACCCTGGAGACAAAAATCATGTAATTGGGTAACATCTTACTTTTCTGTGAACCATCTTTTCAAATCGAAAACTTGATTCTATTTTTTGATAGTTCCTAATCCTTAAAGGAATAGTACACCCAAAACATGATTAGCCTTCATTTTCTACTCACCCCCATGCTGAACAACACTCTGGAGTACTTTTTTGATATCTCAAATGCATCTGGAGATCTGGGAGGCTTCTTGCTGTCTGCTGACATTCAAATAATGGAGGTCTATGGCGCCCGAGGCAGAAAGGTCCATAAAAGTCCACAAAAAACGTGTCAATATTCCTCCATACTGCTCGTCCAATGTATTCCAAGTGTCCTGAGTGGGTAGCGTCCAGAATTTACTCGAAACGAAGTCATTTAGAATGTTTTTAGAGCATAAACAGTAGTGTATAGGATTTCCTGAAAGCGCGTTCACGAGTCTACGGAAGCCGGCAGACCAAACCAGATGAAAGTGCGCATTCAGCGTCTGCTCTGCCGATAATGCAAGCGTAGAAGAAGAAATGTGCTGTTTACCTGTGCAAAGAAAGAAACAACGAAAGAAAAATGTCTGAGGACTTCAGTGTTGAGGAAGAGCATGAGTTCTTTGCCGAGCTGAATGCGCTGGTTTGGTTTGCCGGCTTCCGTAGCGTCGTGATCGCGCATGTGCGCGCTTTCAGGAAATCCTATACACTACTGTTTATGCTCTAAAAACATTCTAAATGACTTCGTTTCGAGTAAATTCTGGATGCTACCCACTCAGGACACTTGGAATACATTGGACGAGCAGTATGGAGGAATATTGAAACGTTTTTTGTGGACTTTTATGGACCTTTCTGCCTCGGGCACCATAGACCTCCATTATTTGAATGTCAGCAGACAGCAAGAAGCCTCCCAGATCTCCAGATGCATTTGAGATATCAAAAAAGTACTCCAGAGTGTTGTTCAGCATGGGGGTGAGTAGAAAATGAAGGCTAATCATGTTTTGGGTGTACTATTCCTTTAAGTATGGGGTAAGATACCCGTAAATAATGTGTGCAGTGTTATCTAAAATCTATGAATGTAAGTCAATATATGTAATTACATTTAAGATTAGTCGATTCGTCAAATATGAGATCAGATTATTCATTGGTGAGAAAACGAGTTTAGAAGTTACAAATCTGCAAATGCACAAGTATAAATGACAAAGAAAAAAGTAAAATTTTATAAGCAAAGATGAAGCTTTCACACTCCTAACCAGATGGAAGCAAGTTTGCACCTGAAGGTCGTTTGCCCTCAAATGAGAAAAGCAGACGAAGATGAAGATAAAACCTATTGATTGTTGCAAAGATTGATTAGTTTCTGTCGGGTTCATAAAATGTAGGTTTTTGCTTAAGAAGAACTGAAATAAACAATTTATGGATACAATTTCTGCAGAAAGGAGAGACAGTTGAACCCTAGACCCAAACACACCGTCTCTCACTGGACCTCCTCTGCAGAGCGTTTATTAACAGAACATGACGCATGGTTACAAACAGAGTATTGTTCTGACAGAACAATTGATCAGTTCATGAAGACAGGATGCTCCATCAGAATGACAAGGCAGGATGGTCTCCTGACTGAATCATGACACAGGAGTGGAGCAAAAATGTTTTATAAGCACACATTAATTTTAGAATCATCATTGAATAAACCTAACAGTTTCCACACTGCAGAGATATTGGAATCTGAGCTTAAATGTCAGCCAAACCCATTTACACAGGAACAGATAAAACCTTTCAATAAACCAAACATTACCCGCCACACATCTGACTCGATAACCATTTAAAACAGGCATCCCCAAAGTCGGACCTCGAGGGCCGCTGTCCTGCAGGGTTTAGAGGTTTCTGATCATTGCAGTGAAACAAAAGCCTGTTAATCAACTATCGATATAAATCAGCTGCGCTGGAGCAAAGAAAACTCTAAAACCTGCAGCACAGCGGCCCTCAAAGACCGACTTTGGGGATGCCTGGATTATAACAACTATTTTCATTAATTTCAGACAGAACTAATCACATACTTGTATTATACTTTACCGCTCTTACAATATTCACCACTGTTAGGAGCCATTTCCCTTTTTCCTCTGAGCATGGAGCAGCCGGCTTGCTTGGACTTGCAATGAATCATGGGATACCCAAGGCTACGTAGCATTTGGCTCAAATGGAGCGCAAATGTAGAGTCTTCCAATCTGAACAGAGTTGGCTCTACGCTATGACTTAATCGGCCGACGAATCTGGCCTTCGGAGGACGCAGTCGCTGAATTCGAACTTGGCGTAGTATATGTAATATCTTTCTTTTCGTCTTCTTCCTCTTCTTGTTTGAAGATTTTTTATAACAACTTTCAGCTGAATTACTGCCACCAAGTGGTAGAAAGTGACACAGCTTAATTTGGTGTCGATTTCTACCTTGAGTTGACAACAAGGAACAAATACAAATCTTTAATCTATTAACAATACTTACATTGGCAAATCCAGACATCCATGCATGTGTTTAATGACAGTTATCTTACCACATTTAATTTTCATTTTAACTTCCTCGGTAGATTTTCTTTAAACTGCTTGCAGACATTTCAGAATGAAGCAGCAGAACTCCAAAAGAAGAGAGAACATTACCTCTATTTCAGCCTCCCTGCACAATAAAGGATAAATGTTAAAGTTTAGATTCTTACATTCAGGGAACCACATAGCCAAGCTCTGGAATGCGTGAATAACTTATTGATGCCATATTGTTCCTCTCTGACTCTAAGATCAGCTGGTCGGAGGTGGCTGATAGAACTACAGGCCGATTCTAAAACTGAAGGAGATCAGGCTCTGCAGGCAGTGGCCCCAAAACTCTGAAATTCAAATCACTTTGTTGCTGCATGAACTCCAATGACTCATTTCAGAAACAATTAAAGACTCGAACTCGACTGCACATGTATTTGTTGTATTCTTGTGTTCCTGTTTTAATTATTTGTGACTCTGCTCACCGTGAAAGCTGCTCTACAAATATATTTGATCAAAAAAAAAAAAAAATTAATTAAAAGAAGTAACTTCCTTGCACCTTTCTCAACAGGACTCCAGTTCATCATCTTCATCATCATCATCGTCATCATCATCGTCGTCGTCTTCTTCTTCCTCCTCCTCCTCCTCTTCATCTTCTTCTTCCTCCTCCAGTAGCTCCTCAGACAGTGATAGTGAGGTAAGCTGTTTTACGTATTTAATTGCTGTTTATATGAAAAGTAGACTTTTGATAATTTTGATGCCCCCAAAAAAAAGGAACTACAAAAAACTCAAACTTTATTACAAAGTCTAAATATAAGAAACACCCAAACAAACAAACCAAAAAAAGAAAAAAAAACTTCAATAGTCGGTTTCTTTTCTCTACACCACATATGTCAGAGTCAAGGCCTGCGGGCCAGATCCGGCCCGCGAGAAAGTTTTTTACGGCCCCTGGGATGATCTTGATTTATTATTAGAACCGGCCCGCAGACCGCAGATCTTTTACACGCACCAATACTACATTTCCAACAATGCAATGGTG